TCTGTGATAAGTCCAGTTTTCATTTGTTAATGGTTTCTAATCATGGCGACATGCAACGCTTTAGAAATATCAACACCCTGACATACTTCTCAAAGATCTTGTATTACATCCTAATTTGGTGAGTAGTGACTGGAGTTTTAGGAGCTTGTGAGCAGCCTGTTCAGGTGCAGCTGTTCATCTCTTCCCATCCAAAAGAGAGAAAAATGACAAACATGGACGATCCATAGAAATCATCAGTCCAATGGAATAGCGGCCCACACAAACATCAATCTCTATAATGCTGTGGCCAGAACTAGGTAGTATCTGGCTCCCACTACCAACTGCTCTGAAAAGATTACCTTAAACGGCCATGTATAAAGTGAAAGGAAAAATGTGGAACAGAACTTCGAATCATGAATCAGAACTTCAAAGCAAGACTTAGAGGTCAGATAGAAACGGATGGGACTTTGGTGGGACTCGCATGAGGATGGCCCTTACCCTTTAGGTCTAACATGGAGCTCACCTCCAAGTCAGAGCACGCAATTATTTACAAGCAAAAGGGCAGCGTTTACTCAAGGGCAAGATTCCAAAGGTCAGGCAAAGAGAATTAGAAACTGGAAACAGGAAGGAAGTAGGACCATGATGGCACACTGAGGGGATTTTAATGGATGAGTTGAATCTGGATAGATATGGATTGTTGAAAGTAAAACTATGATTTTACATTCTGTAAAACCCACTTTGTAAACCTTCACCTAATTCACAATAAAAAGGAAAAAAAAAAGCAATGCCCAAGCTTCTCCCACTCTTGATTGCCTTCTTACTCTCATCTATTGATGAGAGTAAAAGCTGATAAGTATAGAATTGTCTCATGTTTGTAAATCTGCTAAGGATCAATGGTTGAAAGGAATATTTGTGCCAAAGTTACTTACATTAAAAAAATAAGGTCATGCATTGACTTAATATCAAAGGTGGATTAGGGATATCAAAATGAGGTGGTCTTAGATCGCGGAGTTGGGTTTGGTCATCTTCTCCCTGGGTGGACAGTACTACCACTACCCCATTCAGTACTCTATTGACAATTAGGGGATAAAAGGAGACTTTTCCTCAAGATATTTGTCTTCCCATGGCCTTGGCCACTGGTCAGCAAAGTAGTGCACTAACTAACGAATGCACGTCCACAGACGGTTGGCGTGTGCAGTACTACGAACACCGCCATATGGAGAGAATCGTTTTTCACTTCCCATTGTTCTAAAATGAAGAGGCTAGGTAATACTTAAGGCTGATAGTAAAATGACAGTTCTCATGTATTAGAATTGACCCAATGGCAGTGAATCTGGATTTTTAAACTTTCTTTTAAAAAATATATATTTTATTGGGGGCTCGTACAACTCTTATCACAATCCATACATCCAACCATTGTGTGTCAAGCACATTTGTACATTTGTTGCCATCATCATTCTCAAAACATTTGTTTTCTACTTGAGCCTTTGGTATCAGCTCCTCATTTTCCCCCTCCCTCCCCACACCCCTCTCCCTCATGAACCCTTGATAATTTATAAATTATTATTATTTT